CAAAAAAAAAAAAAAGAATTGGGCTCCATTTGATCAATACAGAAACAAATTTATGATATTGGGAATTCAGGAGTACATTTTTTTCTTTGACTCATAAACTAGAAGAAATTACTGCTTTAAAGAATATTTTATAACATACTTACTCTATTCTTCTTTTCTTCTCCTTTAAGCCCAAACCTTGTCAGTACTGCAACATAATTGCAGCATTTATTGGCAATAAATGCCAGCGCTGCACAAATTCAGAGAAGAAGTATGGACCACCATATTCTTGTGAACAGTGCAAGCAGCAGTGTGCGTTTGACAGGAAAGACGATAGAAAGAAGGTAAGGCTCTGCATCTTTCTTGTTTTAACTTTATGTGTGTGGCGGGGTGTGGGGGGATGATGGGAAGGGTTCCTGAGATTTGAACCAGGTTTGAACTAGGGTCCTAGGTTCTGTCCCTGAGCTTTTTTCTCAAGATTATCACTTAGCTACAGCCCGTCTTCTGTTTGTTTGTTTTTTTTGAGGGGGGGCAATTAATTGGAAATAAGAGTCTCACAGACTTTACTGTCTGGGGTGTCTGAGATCCTCAGATCTTATCCTCCTGAATAGCAAGGATTATAGGTGTGAGCCAGCTTGTTTTTCCTTTTTAGATTATTTTTTAGATAGACTCTTGAGCTTTTCCTTGAGCTGGCCTGAATCACTATCTACTGCCACCCACCAAGCTAAAAACCACAGGTATGCACCACCATACCCAGCTTATTTGTTGAGCTGGGGGTCTCAATAACCTTTTGCTCATTTTAGCCTTAAATCACATAATCTTTCTAATCCAATCTTAGGGTAGAAATTAAGAGATGCTATTCTAGTAAATAAACTTTTAGGACTAGGAGCATTGCTGAAGTTTTAAGAAGGGACAAGATCTTGCGTTTAATCCCCAGTACTTAAAAAAATAACCAGAAAACACCTTAAGTAGAAGTAATCTTGTGAGCCGGGCGCTGGTGGCTCACGCCTGTAATCCTAGCTACTCAGGAGGCTGAGATCTGAGGATCTCAGTTCAAAGCCAGCCTGGGCAAGAAAGTCTGTGAGACTCTTAT